TTGTTCCCTCTCTCCAAGTCTCCTAAATACTCTTGTCATCACACGCCCCCAAATCCCATCACTTCCTTGTATAAGAACCTATGATAGTTTATTGCCTGTCAAATCAGGTTCATTCACTGAACCCACAGTGTCAGGCAACTGTTTCCAATACTTCTCAGTAGAAACCTTCTGTGACTGTCTTATTTCCCATAGGCACTTATCCCCTGCCCTCAGTATCAGGCTGCTTAAATCTGTCTTTATTTTTGCTCATGCTATCCCCTTCTGAGAATGGTGTTGTCATTTGCTGGTTTAACATTTATTCTTTTATTATTATTACTTTGAGGCGGAGTCTTGGTCTTTCACCCAGGCTGGAGTGCAATGACGCGATCTCATCTCACTGCAACCTCTGCCCCTCGGGTTCAGGCGATTCTCCTGCCTCAACCTCCCGAGTAGCTGGAATTACAGGCACCTGCCAACACGCCCAGCTAACTTTTGTATTTTTAGTACAGATGGGATTTCACTGTGTTGGCTAGGCCAGTCTTAAACTGCTGACCTCGGGTGATCTGCCCTCCTAGGCCTCCCAAAGTGCTGGGATTACAGGCATGAGCCACCGCGCCTGTCCTTTATTATTTTTGAGACAGGGTCTCACACTGTCACCCAAGCTGGTTTGTGCAGTGGCACGATCACAGCTCACTGCAGCCTTGACCTTCTGGGCTCAGGCTATCCTCTTGCCTCAGCCTCCAGAGGGGCTGAGACTACAGGCATGTGCCACCATGCTAAGATAATTTAAAAATTTTTTGTAGAGGGAAGGTCTTGTCATATTGCCCAGACTGGTCTCAAACTCCTGGCTCAAGCAATTGTCTCACCTAGGCCTCGCAAAATGCTGGCATTATAGGCATTATATGAGCCACCGCACTGCCAGCTTTTACTCTTTTAAGGCCCGTTTTGTGGTCCACTTCTCCCACTCACTAATCACTTCCTTCTTAGCACCCTCTAGTTCTTGCCGTCTGTTGAATTTCACATTCTAGGACTTTATTAATGACTCTATTGGACTTTTCCATGAAAAAACAGTGGTTCCTTAATTCCTCAGAGTAGATTTTAAACTTCATCAGGGCAATGCCATGCATATTCTTTAGCTCAATAACATTTGGCTCTGGACTGCTTAGACAAGTGATTATTGACTCAAAAGGAAAGAGAAAATTCATATTCTCAGTTTATTAAGTTCTTTCAACGTCATCACTGTACTGCTCTCAATTTAAAATGAGGAAACCAGGCTGGGTACAGGGGCTCACACCTGTAATCCTAGCACTTTGGGAGGCTGAGATGGGAGGATTCCTTGAGGCCAGGAGTTTTAGACTAGCCTGGTCAACATAGTGAGCCCCCTATCTCTTAAAAAAAAATTTTTTTTTTAATGATGAGGAAACCAAAGCCAAGTAATTTGCCCAAGGTCACAATGCTGACATAAGTTAGACCCAGGACCCAAACTCTGGCAGCTTGGGTTCAGAGCCCACGTGCTCACCCCACCACACCATGAGGATCACATAGAATAGCAGTTAATCCCAGTCTGTGCTTTTTTTTTTTCCTGACGTTATTATTATTATTATTTTGCTATACTTTAAGTTCTGGAATACATGTGCAGAACATGCAGGTTTGTTACATAGGTATCCACATGCCATGGTGGTTTGCTGCACCCATCAACATGTCAACTACATTAGATATTTCTCCTAGTGCTATCCTTCCCCTAACTCCCCACCCCTGTAACAGGTCCCAGTGTGTGATGTTCCCCTCCCGGTGTCCATGTGTTCTCATTGTTCAACTCCGACTTATGAGTGAAAACATGTGGTGTTTGGTTTTCTGTTCTTGCGTTAGTTTGCTGAGAATGATGATTTCCAGCTTCATCCATGTCCCTGCAAAGGACATGAACTCATCCTTTTTATGGCTGCATAGTATTCCATGGTGTGTATGTGTCACATTTTCTTCATCCAGTCTATCATTGATGGGTTGGTTCCAAGTCTTTGCTGTTGTGAACCGTGCTGCAATAAACATATGTGTGCATGTGTATTTATAGTAGAATGATTTATAATCATTTGGATATATACCCAATAATTGGATTGCTGGGTCAAATGGTATTTCCAGTTCTAGATCCTTGAGGAATTGCCACACTGTATTCCACAATGGTTGAACTAATTTACACTCCCACCAATAGCGTAAAAGAGTTTCTATTTCTTCACATCCTTCTCAGCATCCGTTATTTTCTGACTTTTTAATAGTCACCATTCTAACTGGCGTGAGATAGTATTTCATTGTTGTTTTAATGTACGTTCTCTAGTAACCAGTGATGATGAGCTTTTTTTCATATGTTTGTTGGCTGCATAAATGTCTTCTTTTGAGAAGTGCCTATTTATATCACTTGCCCACTTTTTGATGGGGTTGTTTGTTTTGTTTTGTTTCTTGTAAATTTGTTTAAGTTCTTTGTAGATTCTGGATATTAGCCCTTTGTCAGACGGATAAATTGCAAAAATTTTCTCCCATTCTGTAGGTTTCCTGTTCACTGTGATGATAGTTTCTTTTGCTGTGCAGAAGCTCTTTAGTTTAATTAGGTCCCATTTGTCAATTTTGGCTTTTGTTGCCGTTGCTTTTGGTGTTTTAGTCATGAAATCTTTGCTCATGCCTATGTCCTGAATGGTATTGCCTAGGTTTTCTTCGAGGGTTTTTCTGGTTTTAGGTCTTACGTTTAAGTCTTTAATTCATCTTAAGTTAGTTAGTCCTATGCTCTTCTTGAGAACTGGGAGGCCCAGCACCGCTGAGCTTTTGCATATAAGAAGGACACTTCCTTTTTTCCCCTAGAGGTGGGGATACATGCGTGTGGTTTTTATGTAGGCAACCTCATCACTGGCCATGACCTCAGGGAGAGTGGACCAGTGACTTTAGAAACCCATTAGTTGAAAAGTACCTTGCTTGATTTTAATTATTGTGTAGGGCAGGTGTATATATTGAAAGGAAGGTCTTGTCTCTATTCTCAAAGCTTCGCATTATTTCTAGGAGTGATAAATATGAGAACTTCCTTGGCTCTACAGCCTGACAAACACGGTATTTACCTTTTCGCAGGGTTGATTCTTTTATTTCTTCCTCCTTTGAGAGGTCCCTGTCCCCGTAGTCATCTTCAATCAGCTAAGAACATTTGCTATCAGAGCTATATTTTTATTATGCACAAGTAAAGCAGCTGTTTCTGAAAATTAGACAATTTTTGGAAAATTAGCTTCATCTTTTTCCTACTTTATGATAAAAGTAAGTGTTAAGTGTTTTTAAAAAAAGGGTTGAGGGAAATGTTTATGAGGAAAAAAACGGTATTTAGAAACGCTGATCTTCAGGGCAGCAGGAAAGGCCAAGGGCTAAGCTGCAGCACAGCATGGTCACTGGGGGCTCGCTACACAGGAAGCAGAAGCCGTGGCACATGCAGATGTCCACGGGGACCATCACATGTGTAGGCCTTCTTTGTGAGTCGTTTGGAACAGCTATTATATTCGATGGCCAAAAAGAAATTTCCATATAAAACTGGCACTCTTCTCTTGGTTTTTTTTTTTTTTTTACCTTGGAATTTTGTACAGATTTAAAAGTAAGTACTTCTAAGTATCAGCTCTGGCTAAAGAGAAGCTATATCCTTCAGAGACGTTCTCTACATTAAATAAAACTTTTTAAAAATCTGAGCATATAATCCTGCTATTGTCCAGCCACTGCTCTTTTATTTGAATTACAAAATATTTGTCATCTGGGGACTGCCCACATTTATTTTCAGTTTTTTTTAAAACATTTAAGATATTTCTAAAAGTATATATACATATATATATATATATGTATATATATTCAGAGAATATTAATTTAATTTTAAAAATAGAATCAGGGCACATTTTTATGTAGTGGAAAGAGAAGTGAATTTGTATATTATGAGTCCAAATCTGTCTTTACAATGTGACCTTGGGCACATCTGGCCAGCCAGGACGCAGTTTCCTTTTCTGCAGGGTTGTGAGGGGTGAGGAAAAGAGAAAAAGAGCCAGAGGTCTTTCCCAGCTCCCAAAGGCTAGGCTTTTATAAATCCAAGCATCCCAGAGTTCATTCGTATTGTAACAGTGACCCCTTGTGGTATATATCCTTAACCAATTTAGTTTTGATTTGCAAAGTAAACTGGAGTTTTTTGTTCTTTCTAGTAACTGTATTTCACGTTGTTAGGCAAATATGGCTTGTTTTAAAAAGATAAATCTTACTTGAAAATCAAAGATAAATTAAAGCACCATATAGAGGCCAGGTGCGGTGGCTCATGCCTGTAATCCCAACACTTTGGAAGGATGAGGCGGGCGGATCACCTGAGGTCAGGCGTTTGAGAACAGCCTGGCCAACATGGTGAAACCGCATCGCTACTAAAAATACAAAAATTATCCAGGCATGGTGGCATGTGCCTGTAATCTTAGCTGCTGGGGAGGCTGAGGCAGGTTGCAGCAAGCCGAGATCGCCCCACTGTATTCCAGCCTGAGTGACAGAGCAAGACTTCATTTCAAAAAAAACAAAAACAAAAAACCCAGCATATAGAGCACCAAACCCCACCGGATAAACAATTCTCGATGGTTTCTTCAGAAACCGTATATTGGCTGGGCACAGTGGCTCACTCCTGTAATATTAGCAATTTGGGAGGCTGAGGCTGGAGGATCACTTAAGACCAGGAATCACCAGCCTAGACAATGTAGTGAGACCCCATCTCTACAAAATATTTTTTAAAAGTATCCAATCATGGTGGCATGTGCCTGTAGTTCCAGCTACTTGGGAGCCTGGGGTGGGAGGATCACTTGCACCAAGGAGTTTGAGGCTGCCGTGAGCTATGACCGCAGAACCACGGTACTCTAGCCTGGTGACACAGTGAGACCTATCTCAAAATAATAAATAAGAAACTGTATATAGCAGACTTTTGTCATTTACAAAATTAGAAGTGTTTTGATGTTTGTGCTGAGTGCTTTATGTATTCCTCCTAGGGACCAGGGGAAAAGACATGCAAGGGCCTCATCATGCCCCAGCAGCTCAGACCTGAGCAGGCTGCAAACCAAAGCAGGTGAGGGGTCCCCACTCCTTCATCCACAGCATCTCCACTTGAAGGAAAAACGTTTGGACTGATGATGTCTCTGTTGGCCCACTGTTGAAAACTTCAGGAAGTTTGTCCAATTTGATCACAAATCAACATTTATTTTTATACATTTTTATTATATTCATACAATCTTACCATCTTATCACTACTCAACTCTGATGCCTCAAACATCTATAGATGACAGTCTTAATGATCTTATAGAAATTATTTTGTAAAAGCATTTGGAAAGTTGCAAAACTTGACATTAACATAGTTCTTGGATTCAAAACTTGAGTTCAAGGCATTGCTTAGCCGGGCATGGTGGCTCACGCCTGTAATGCCAGCACTTTGGGAGGCTGAGGCAGGCGAATCACTTAATGTCAGTAGTTCAAGACCAGCCTGGCCAACATTGTGAACCCCATCTCTGCCAAAAAAACACACACACAAAAAAAAATTAGTGGGGCATGGTGGGTGGGAGTGGGCTGCCTGCAATCCCAACTACTTTGGAGGCGGAGGTGGGAGAATCACTTGAACCCACGAGGCAGAGTTTGCAGTGAGCCTAGATTGCACCACTGCACTCCAGCCTGGGTGACAGAGCGAGACTCGTGTCAAAAAACAAAAACAAAAACAAAAGAAAAAAGAAAAAAAGATAATTGCTTACTTAAATGAAGCTATGTTAATTTTATTGAGTGTCCTTTACACTGTTTAATTGAGAAAATATGTAACAATATAAAACACAGTCTAGAAATGATACAAAATGTATTCATGCAATAGAATATAGTTGTTAGAAAAGTATAATATTGTAATATTGAGTAAATTCAGTACAAACATATTAGATGAAAAATATATTGTTTATGGATACACAGCCATATGGTAAGCATGTGAAGTCAAGTGTAATCATAGTAACCAGTGGATTTAGAATGGTGGTAACCCTTGGAGGGAGAGGGAGGAGGGGAGTGGATGCAGGGAGGCACACATCTATAATGTTTTATTTCAGATAATAATAAGGGAAAGGATAAAAATATGGCAAAATATTAATATCTGACCAAACTAGTATGGGGTACACTGGTGGTGAATGTTATAGTCTTAATATGTTTTTGTACACGTGAGATTTTACCATACTAAATAATAGATTTTAAAAATTATTATCTTCAAAACTTAACGTTTTATCAATAAAATGACTTTTGCGCCATCGGGAATTTCTTTACTCAGGAAAATCTTAGATATACCAATTTCCAAGCCAGCATAGTTGCTAAGGATTTTTACATTTACATGCTAAAAACATCAGCCAATCCAAACATTGTGTCAGGTTTTTGTGTCCAGAACTCAAAGCTGTGGTTAACAACTATAACCACTGAGACAGCAAAATCTTCAAAAACATGCTGAAATTTTTGCTTGACTTACCCAATTTCCTGTTGAATCATAATTTTTATATTTAGCAAACCATGAACCTGATGAAAGTGCTTTCTAAAGTATTAGATTGTTGCCCAAAATTGAGACAAATAATAATTTATGTATCTGTGTGTCTCTTAAAAAGCAATCATGTGATTCCATGCTTCATTTTCTGGAGTAACTCAGGGATGGTGTATAAGATGGAGGCAGAGGGAGGCCCAGGGCGAGTGAAGAGGTGGGAGAGCTCTAGCCAGACACAGCTGTGCACTTTGGGATTCCTGGGAGAGAGTTGGAAGGAAACCCTCATACCACAGTGTCTGAGTAACTTCTGTTCTGAGAAGAAGCAAATCTCAGAAACATTCAGAAGGGCCCGTGAGGGTTAAATAAATTGTTCTGCAATTTGTGATTAACCCCTATAATTCAGCTCTTTCTGGATAAGTTATCCATTTTATTTGTCTTAAAAAAAACAGGTTGATAGTCATGGTTTCTCACAAAACTTCTCTATTAAGCAGCATATTACATAGAAGGTAAAAAATGCAGACTTGAACTTACTGGATCAAAGTTTGTGTTTCTAGTAAATTTAAGTGCGTCACAAATATATGTTGATTAAATAACTTGCCTGGCTTATTTTCTGGCTTTCATTTGCCTTCATAAGTTGATTTTATTTTATTTTTTTAATATATATTTTGGACTTTGAATAGGTTAGTTGTCTGCAAATATGAGCAACTATGTTTTTTATATTACTTGAATATTCATGTTTACCTTTAGAATCCATATCCATAAATTATCAAAGTTAAGGCAGATTCATAAAAATAATGATCCAAAAGATTGAGATACTAGTCTACAAACTGTAGTTCCAAAATCCCTGATCCTGACAGGAAGCCAGTTAGAGTCTTTGTTTTGTTAGTGTGAATATTCATATATTTTGCTGCAGGGTGCTGCCCCAGAAGACCCTACTGGGTGGTATGTCATATGCAACGTATATACCATATTGACTTTCTAAAATTTGTATGTTTCTGAATCCCAAACCACATTTGATTCCAAAGGTTTTGGATAAGGGATTGTGAATCTGTACTGATGTGAACTAATTTTTTCTAACGACATAATATATTATGGTGAAGTCTTGCATTGGGTTACATTAGATTATCTGAAACCTTGCTATTAAGGCTATTTACTGCACTGCAAATGTTTAATAATAGCTTTGTTGACATCCCCTTTCTATTTACTTTTGCTGCTTAGGTGATCTTGGATGCCCTGTGTGGGTCAGCTGCTCTTGGCAGTAGGAAGGGTTGATAAAAGGCAACCCTGGACTTGCTGCAACTGGGAGTGGCCATTTCTAGCATGTAGTATAACAGGGGAAGGCCTGCGTGTTGGATGGGATAAGTAGATTGTACAGCATCCCTGCTTCCCCTGGGTGACATCAGCACCATTTGATGCTTTGAGGATTCATTTCAAAATTCAAATGAATTTTTTAATATATATTATTATATGTTATCTTTGGATTTTTCTGCTATTTATACAGATAATCGTGAAGGGACTTTATTGAATTTCTTGATGCAGAGAATTTTATTTTAACTGCATTAAAATTATTAATATGGATATTAACTAAGGTATGCACATTTAAGATGTGTTGCATATATTTTTCTCTTCAAGAATAATAAGAATGCATTAGAGGTATTGGAAAATACAGAAGAGCACATAAAAGAAATTATTAACCCCTAATCCCATTATTTAAAGATAACCATTGTTACCCCATTTTACAGAAGAGAGGTGAAGCAGTTTGCCCATAGTCAACCAGCTAGTAGGTGGCAGAGCTAGGATTCAAACCCAGATGGTGACCCCAAACCTGTGCTATTAACAGGCTGCCTGGTCACCTTGTTCTTTGTTTAAAGTAACCTGAAAATATACGGACTATATACTCTTTTGCTCCTCTCTCGGTCTCTCTGTCACTGTCTCTCTCTCTCTCTTTCTCTCCCCCAACCTCTCACCTTCTGATTGTTCCTGATTTCTAACTCTTTGTGTGACATTTTTAGGGTCCAGACACCTTCTGTGTGGACCCTTAATTGGTACCAGGTCTACCCTGCCCCGAGAGGGCATGGACTCCCTGACCTGTTATAGACCAAGGAAAAGGACTGAAGGGGTGGTCTGCAGAGAAGGGAGACTGAGGAATACATCTCCAGCACTCTCCAGCACTGTTCAGGCATGCCTCAGCACAGTAATGCCACCTCCAGCTACAATCAGTGTTTCAGATCTTGAGATACTGCCTGTGTGAGATATAATCATAATTTGCAGTTTCTAATATGAGTTACATTTATTCTCCCCCAACGTTACTCTTTAGTCTCCTAGTTTGCTCCAAGTCAGCATAGGTTTGAGATCAAGTACAGTGGCTGGGGAGCTATATGACCTTGGGCAGATAACTTAATACATTTGGGCTTCACTTTCTTCACCTGCAAAGTGGGGACAGTGTGGGAACCTCCTCATAGCATTACTGCAAAAATGAAATGCAGGCCTCCTGCATCTGAAGTACACTGCCAATGGCTGCTGTTTCCTACAGCCCATATTCACATGCAGCATCTACTCTTGATGGCTTGGTAGCATCACACAGGCATGAGATACTGTAGGGGTGGTTACCTGTTTGTATGCTTATTTAATCAGGGAAATGAAATTAAATTGTATATTGTTTGGTACTGGGCTCAGAGCTTTACCTATACCATGTCTTAATTCTTATGCCCTTGAAGGCAAATAGTCTCTGTTTTGCTGATGAGAAAACAGACTCAGAAAGGATAAGAAACTGAACCCCAATCACCCACCATGTCAATAATGGAGTTGGGATTTGAATTGAGATTTGTCAGCCTCATTGAGAAAAGCCCCCAGGCTTTTCTGCAACACCACACAAAATCACTTGGCATTAATGCTACTGGCCCCAGTAGCATTTTAGAAAAAAAAAAATTCTAAAAGGGAGACCTAAAAGGTCTTTCTTTTCTATAGAAATAAATTGTTAGTGGGGACACTTTATTACTATAGAAAAGAAAGACCTTTTAGGTTTCCGTTTTAGAAAATTTTTCACTGCACATTTTAAAAATTCTTATTCTTTACATATCTCTAGTTATCTATTCCACATTACAAAGGGATAAATTTAAGTAGAAAAGAACTCAAAACTGTCTGCCTTACTGACAATCACCAACATTTACAAAGCTGACTACTTTATAAAGTGAGCAGATCATATTTTAAAGTCCTGACTTCTTTACATTATCCAGTCTGAGTTTAATTTGGGGTAATTTGATTAGAAGACCTGCAGTTCTAATGAGAAATAGTTGGGATTGGGGAGCAAAGGGAAATTTAGTTCCCTAGTTTATTGTAGTGATGAATAGTAAAGGCTTTTGACTGTGCTTCATTACCACTCCTTTTTCATAGCTTTTTCTTCTGCTCTGGATTTCTTTTGCAGTCTCAAAAGCTGACCTGCAAGAAAAGGATGCAGAAATAGAAGTAGATGAAGCCTTTTGGAATACAAGGATTGTACCGATTTTGCGTGAATTAGAAAAGGGTAAAAAGAAAATCCTATTTTTGTTTTTTAACAAAAAAATCAGTAGTTATTTATATGTTCCCCATTGCCCTGATATTTTTAGTAAGTTTTCACTATCATTTCTGTGAACATGTTCAAAAAACAAATGAAGTCATCTGTTTGTTACTCTGTGTGTATTTAAATATTACATGCACACATAATTTTTAGTAAGAGTATACTTTAAATGCACCAAGAGAACCAACTTCTAAAATTTCCTTTGTAATAAAAGTTAATTTTCATCTCCTTTACCCAAGGAAATGCTGGTTTAACCTCTCTCAGGTGGCTGTTCATACTCAAGAAAGCAAAAAATTGAAACAGAGTTCAGGCTTGGAAACTGAGTCTCATACACTTGAGTCCTTGATAAGTGTGCCCGTGGTTTCATTGGTCCAACTGGTATATGTCCTGCTCTCTTGCAGGGAGCACATCTGTCGGGAATGCCACCCACAGTATGGGAAATGGCCTGGGATGTGTCCCACCCTTGAACTCTGAGCTGCCCCAGAAGTGAAGGCACACGATTGATGGGCCCTTGAAAGGCTAGGGAAAGCATGTCACGGGGTGGCCCTCTGCTTTCTCCCTCTTTGCAGCTCCTCAGGGATTCTGTTCCTGAAGTTGAATCAGGCTCCTCTGGAGCAGTGGTTGTAGCCCTAGGGAGGGCCGAGGGCCTGGAACGCAGTGCACAGTAGGCCTTTGCTAGGAATTGTTGATGAGCAAACCAGCTTGGTAGCCACAGGAAGATGCTCTAAGAGAAGCAGGGTAAATGAATCCTCCCAGCAACCAAACAGGGACATCCAGCAAAAGACCTGATACCTGAAAGGTTCAAATGACCTCACCCCTCCTCTGCTCCCCATTGATGCTTGGTTGTGTTCATGGTTAATGTGGGAGCCCTGGACGGGGTTTCTGGTCCCAGCGCTGCTACTCACTAAGCATTTGGCCATGAGGCGTCACCTAGATGACCTAGACTCTGCGCAATAGTGTCCTTGCCTGCCAGACAACGAGGTGGAGACTGGGTTATCTTCACAGGCTTCTGCAGCCCTAAGTCCTAAGGATATGAATGTGATGACTTTTTCCCTTCTAGTGTTACTATGTTCACCCTTATATTAGTGTGCCAGGTTAGCTTTGGGCCCTTTATTTTAGGAGATATGTATAAATATTAGAAGAACAATGAGTCTGGGTAAGGGTTAAACAAGAAAGTGTATTGTGAAACATTGAATGGGGAGACTGAGTCAGTATTGTTAAGGCCTTTCTTGTAGGATGTCTTCCTACAAGAAAGAAGGATTTTTTTTTAAGAGAGGGGGTCTCACACTGTTGTCCAGGCTGGCCTTGAACTCTTGGGCTGAAGTGACTCTCCCATCTCAGCCTCCTGAGTAGTTAGGACTACAGGCTCATACCACCATGTCCAGCTCAGCCGGAAGGATTTTAAGAGGCTGCTGAGGGCTCTGCTCACCATGTACGCAAGTAGAGGAAATTTAAGAGGAGCTGGAGATTTGAAATGTAGATGAATCCGCCTTCTCAAGGAGAAGGCTTATTAGACATGGAAGTATGGCATCTCTCTGCCTAGACAACTTTCAGAACAGCAAATGGGCCAGATGTAGTGGCTCATGCCTGTAATCCCAGCACTTTGGGAGGCCAAGGCAAGCAGATCACTTGAGCTCTGGAGTTTGAGACCAGCCTAAGCAACATGGAGAAATACCATCTATACAAAAAATGACAAAAATTAGCTGGGCATGTGGTGCACACTTGTAGTCCCAGCTACGTGGTGGGCTGAGGCTGGAGGGCCACAGCCCTGGGAGGTCAAGGCTACAGTAAGCCATGACTTTACCACTGCACTCCAGCTTGGGCAACAGAAAGAGACTCTGTCTCAAACAAAACAAAATAAAAAATGGGCAAATGATGGCAGGGCTGGATTACTTGACCCCTTAAGATTTTCTTTTTTCTTTTTCTTTTTTTGACTTTTTCTTTTGACATAGTTTGAGACGTATAGAAAAGTTGCAAGAATATCACAAAAACTGCTGTATGTTCTTCACCAGGTCCCCCCAATAGTAACACTTTGCCACGTTTGCTTTCTCATTCTCTCCTTCCCCCTCACTCCCTTTTTCTGTACCCCTACTCTACCACCTACACACAGTTGTTTTTTCTAACTTTTGAGAACAAGTTGCCAACCTAATGTCCCATATTCCTAAGTACTTTGACAGGCATATTTTAATTTTTTTTCCTTTTTTCTTTTTTGGAGACAGAATCTCTCTCTGTCACCCAGGTTGGAGTGCAGTGGTGTGATCTTAGCTCACTGCAACCTCTGCCTCCCAGGTTCAAGTGATTCTCCTGCCTCAGCCTCCCGAGTAGCTGAGACTACAGGCACCTGCCACCACACCTGGCTAATTTTTTTTCTTTTTTCTTTTTTTTCTCTTTTTTAGTAGAGACAGGGTTTCATCGTATTGGCCAGGCTGGTTTCAAACTCCTGACCTTGTGATCTGCCTGCCTCAGCCTCCCAAAGTGTTAGAATTACAGGTGTGAGCCACCGTGCCCAGCTTAATTTTTTCTTCTTTTGAGACAGAGTCTTGCTCTGTTGCCCAGGATGGAGTGCAGTGGCATGATCTCAGCTTGCTGCAGCCTCCACCTCCCAGGTTCAAGTAATTCTTGTGCCTCCACCTCCTGAGTGACTGAGATGACAGACACGTACCACCACACCCTGCCAATTTTTTTGTATTTTTAGTAGAGACGGGATTTCACTGCATTGGCCAGGCTAGTCTCAAACTCGTGGCTTCAAGTAATCCACCTGCCTCAGCCTTCCAAAATTTTGAGATTACAGGTGTGAGCCACTGGGTCTGGCTGGCATGTATTTTTAGAAACGAAAACATTATCTTATATATCTTGAAATTACCGTACAATACTATACAAATCTTACTCAGATTTTGCCAATTTGTCCCAATAATTTCCTTTATAGAAAAAAATAAAAGCTTGGATCACAGGTTCTCATCATTTGTCACGTCTCTTTCATGATCTTGACATGTTTGAGGAATATGTTATAGACTGTCCCACAGATTGGGTTTGTCTGATGTGCTTCTGTGGTGAGATCCAGCTTAGCATCTTGGGCCAGCATTGCACATGAGGCTGCTGTGTCTCTCTCAGTGCCTTGCATCAGGAGTACACAGTGCTGATTCGTTCTGTTGCTGGTGATGTCCCACTGCTTTACCCACTGTCAAGTTTGTATTATTTCCTTTGTAATGAATACATATCTTGGGGATAGAGGATACTCTGAGATTACATTGCTCTCTGTTACACATCAAACTTTTGCCCCCTTAGATTTAGCCCCTTGCAAATCTTGATAGCTCGCAGATTCAAGTGGTCTTTTGAAGCTATATAGCATTTATAACAAACTTTTTGGTATAAAGGATTGATTTGATCAATAATTTAAAATTTGACCCTTGAGCCTTTCTTTCTAACCTTTTTTAAAGCTAAAAGTAAGTATTCTTGAGTAGAACCTACCAGGCTGAAGAGTTTGTGGAAGGAAGTATTAGAAAAATACTTTGAGAACCACCCACTGTCAATGAGTAGCCCAGAGCCTAGACTTAGGGTTTATAAAGCAACTGCCAGTCACAGAAGAATAAAACAACAAAACACAAGTGTTTCATACAATAGCAGTTTAGGCTTTTCCCTTTATTTAAAGTTAGTCTAAGTCATTTCCCATCAATTCATTTATTTAAGTGCAGAACTGAAAGACATTGAAGGTTACTTAGCTATTGAGGTTTAAAATTTTTTCTTAGATGTTATTGTTGAAAAGAGCTAAAAATGGCCTGAGTCACTTCCTTCTGCAGGCACACACTTCCTCTATGTGGGCTTCTAAGAGCACATTATGGTATTTATTTAAGATTGGTTTCCTACTTTTAAATTTCATGGAGAAATCTATCAGGGATATTATTCAATAAAATACTTTAGATTATTTTATTTCCCCTCCTGTTCCATTATGTGTGCTATTTTTTCTTCTTTGTGTGCCTGCTAGTGTGGCTACCACTTTCAAAATTACTTTCCTAGGCTGGGTGTGGTGGCTCACACCTATAATCCCAGGAGTTTGGGAGGCCAAGGCCAGCGGATCCCTTGAGATAGGAGTTTGAGACCAGCCTGGGCAACGTGGTGAAACCCCATCTCTACCAAAAAATTAGCCATGGTGTCATGTGTCGGGAGTCTCAGCTACTCAGGAGGCTGAGGCAGGAGAATTGCTTGAGCCCAAGAGGCAGAGGTTGCAGTGAACCAAGAATGTGCCACTGTACTCCAGTCTGAGTAACAGAGTGAGACTCTAGCTCAAAAAAAAGAAATTACTTTCCTCACAATCATAATTATAAAATGAATGGTTCTAGATCTCCTTGTTTCCTAATTAAATATTCTTCTTTTTTAAGAAAATTATTATTTTATTTTATTTTATTTTGGAGGTAGGATCTTACTGTATTGCCCAGGCTGGTCTTGATCTTGGCATCAAGCAACGCCCCCACCTCAGCCTCCCAAAGTGCTGGATTACAGACGTGAGCAACCCCAAAAATCTTTTTACTTTTCTTCTTTCTAATAACCACCTCCAGATAATCGTAGATTTGGTGGCATTTCAAGCTTTTGTTCTTCCAGAGCCCTCTTTTCTTAGATGACAAGGAATAGTGTATCTTTTCTGAAGTAGCTACAACATAAACAGACCCTCGAAGGAATGAGGATTGAGGGTTATGTAGGAATGAGGGTTATGGAGAACGCTGTAGGCCAGTAGCACTATGCAAAAAAGAGTCGAAGGTCAAGATGCAAGTGGCATGCGTCTGTGAGGCTGAACAGAGCCCGGACTCAGGTGGGCTGAGGTGGAGGGCATTTGGAGTAAAGGAGACCAACCAAAGCAGGTAGCAGTCCAATATGCTCTTTGAAAAACTGTGTATTCTAGATAAGCTAATGACTGATAAGCAGTAAGTCAACATGGTAGGAGATAGTTCAAAGGGATGAAAAGAATCAGGTAGATGGAAGTGATAAGATAAGGAAAAAATAGAGTCCAGGATTTTGAAGATAATCTAGGAAATAATTATGGGGTTTTTACTCACTGTGTTTGGCACACTTGAAAACTTAACCTTAATTAGTAAGTGTTGCTTTACTCTCTTTGCCCTGACAGAAGAAAACATTGAAACAGTTTGTGCTGCTTGCACACAGCTTCATCATGCTTTAGAGGAAGGAAACATGCTTGGAAATAAATTTAAGAAAAGAAGTATTCTCCTGAAGACCCTATATAAACTAGTTGATGTTGGTTCAGACTTGCTCAGCCTGAAACTTGCAAAAATAATTCTAGCAGTAAGTTGTTCTTTCCTCTGGTCTAGTAGATGATAGCACATAAAAGCTTTGTTTAATGCTTTATTTGTAATTATTACAAAGAACATTAGAAATGCAGCGTATTTGTTTAGAAGCTTGGAAAAAATTAAGGTAATAAACTGACATCTCAGAATTTGACTAGGAAGTGTCATCTAAGGAACTAAGGCTGAGTACATAGAAAATGTTCAAAGAAGCTCTTAACATTTTTGGACTGCAACTAGGTTAAAAAAAAAGGAAGGAAACAAAGGCAAGAAAGAAAGAAAGAGAAATAACAATAGGCAAATACATTCAAAACACTTACTCAAATAACTTGACTAGAGATCAGTAGCAGATGGTGCAGGCTGTGGTTTCTCTTGGATGCTTGATTCTGTCTTATGATTTAATGAATAACCAAGTAATTTAGACCACAGTCACAATAAACCAGGTGCTTTAGGAACCAGCGTGAAACCGAAAAACATCTGCGTGTGGTCACAGGAAGGTACCTCAGTGGTCATGGAAGGCTTTCACAAGGTATGAGAAGAAAAGGCCAGACACCAAAAAAGTCTGTAGAAACTGTGTCTCAAACAAAATGATAGCATTGTTTGAGGGGAGCACTTTGTTGTCACAGCCATAAACAGTTGGAACCAAAAGATAAGCCACAATTATTATAGAATGTTCTAAGAGAGCCGCTAAAACAAATGAATGAAGCTTTGTTTTCTTGGTTTCACACAAGTAAAAGCTTTGTGCTAATGCCTCATAATTTATAAATTTAGAATCTTACACAGTGAAGTGAGTGTCAGCATATTTACTATTAGTTAATAAGAATGCCACCTTTTTTTATTCTGATAATAAAGTCTTTCATAAAGCAGAATTTTCTGAGCATATATCTATGTAATATTGGGGGGAGACTACATTCTTATTTGGCTGTCAAACTATTAACACTTTTTAAAAAAATTGTGATATATGCTCAAGAAAGCAATACTTGTTTGAAATAGTGATTTCACTCCAGGGCTCTGGTGGTGCAGCAGCTGCCCAAAGATTGCCTTTGCTATTTTAATCTGGATTCTAGACATTTTGTTCCATACCAAGCCAAAGAAAGAGAGAGAGAGCAAGAAAAGAAAAAAAAGAAGGAAAGGAAGGAAGAAGGAAGGAACATGAATTATTTTAATGCTTTGCAGAGAAAATATTGTTTTGGTTGTTAATGGTGTCATTCAAATTAATTATATATATGGCACAAAGTTAACTATTTTAGGGCAAAAGGCTAATGATCTGCCAGGCAGTGAACATGTTTTGAACTAAACATATGATTAGATACAGCCCTGTTGGTGACATTGACAGCCTTGCTGAATCAGGAGCAAGATGCTAGGCTAAACTCCAGAGTGCAGAGCTGGGTAGGTTTGCCTTCTGACTAATTGCAGAACCAGCAGTTCAGAAGGGACCTTCAAATCCATGCAGGCCAACTTCCCATCTACTGCCCAGCTCTCCTGTAACATTCCAGACAAGATCTTGTTTAGCTTAGGCCTTGGTGATGGTGTTTGATGTGAAATATTAAAAGACCACATCATAAGAACTGTTGAAGAAGAAAAAGCAAAAACTCAAGCTATATGGGACTAAGAAGTTTTTCAAAACTTCTCTCTGCCTATTTATTGGCAAATGAAAGTTTTCCAGACAGTCATCTTAATTTTAATCTTTGTGTCAAAAACTCTTACAAAATAATATACAAAAATATATAAGCTTAAATGTTACCGTATTAAGATTTTTTAAAGGAGCACAAACATATATATACAGTATGAGTGTGACTATATTTAGGAGGGAAAAAAATCTGGCACCCTATGTACAGGGTAAAAAACAGAAAAGAAATACCAATACCAACTGTGATTATATATAGTGATACTATTATGAGTGATTTTTAAACTTCTCTTTAATTTGCCAAATTTACTTTAAATAGAATAAACTACTGTTTTAACATAAGAAGAAAACTACCCTACCACAAGAACCTACTTTGTGCCAAGGACTCTTCTTTCTTTCTTTGTTAAAAACAAAATCTTACTGCCACCCAGAGCTAGAGTACAGTGGCAAGATCACAGCTCACTGCAGTCTCAAACTTCTGGGCTCAAGTGATCCTTCTGCCTCAGCCTCCTGAGTAGCTTAGGACCACAGGCAGGCACCACCGTACCTGGCTAATTTTTAAAAAATGTTTTATAGCAATGAGGTCTCTCTGTGATGCCCAGGGTGGTCTCAGACTCCTAGCCTCAAGCAGTCCTCCCACTTTGGCCTCCCAAAGTGCTGGGATTATGAATATGAGCCACCATACCCGGCCAGAGACTCTTCTTGACACTGGAAATACAAGTGAATGAACCAGCTCCTGCCTCCGGAGCTGCCGCTGTGGCAGGGCAGACAGACAGCAAGCACAGCAGGTGCCAAAGGAGATAATGAGAACTAAGGGAGAAAAATAAAGCAGAGTAAAGGGAAGGGAGAGTAACAGGGAATTTTAAAAATAAGGTAGTCCATATCCCTTGCATAAATGTAAGATTTTATTATCTTTTCATGTCTTAAAGTCATAATTTTACAGTTAACAATGAAGAAGCCATACAAATTTGCTCTGAGTGTAAATTGACATTATAGCAGGCCTGGAAATTGTGGGTGTTTTTTTTCTTTGTTTTCTTCTTCTTCTTCTTTCTTCTTTCCTCTTTCTTCTTTCATCTTTCTTCTTCCTTCTTCTTCCTTCCTTCCTTCCTTCCTTCCTCCCTCCCTCCCTCCCTCCTCCTCCTCCTCCTCCTCCTCCTCCTCCTCCTTCTTCCTTCTTCTTCCTTTCTTTCTTTTCTTTCTTCTTCTTTCTTCTTCCTTTCTTCTTCTTCTAATGAAAACTCTGATACAAGTATTTTCTTTTTTTCTTTGCCAGTTTTTACTAAAAATGTAAGATTTGGTGGGAAAAAGGAAAGTGAATTGTATTCATTTTTTTCATAAAGTTTTATGAAGTATGGAACACATACTACACATAGAAAGAGTAATAAATTGTGGTTTTGACCTCAAGGACTCACAATCTAGTAGAATATAGTCAACCAATTCAAATACATTCCCAAATATTAGTAATAATGTAGATTTCCATCAATATGGAAATGTTCTTCTGTTTCCTTAAGTCTACCTATTTTCTGGGTTTTTAAACACTGTCATTTTAAATACCTAATTCAACATTTTTTAAGGTTCCCATTTCCTGTTTTCCTCCTGAGAACAGAAGGAATCTCTATTCTGCTATGTGCTCCAGTTTCTGAAGCTTCCACAACAGTGTTCCCCAGACTTCAGTGTGCACGTGCAGCCCCTGGGGATCTTGTAAAATGCAGCTTCTGAGTCAGTAGTGCTGAGTAGGGCCTGAGATTCTGCATTCCCAATACATGTCCAGCTGATGCCGAGATGGTTCTGTGACCTGTCTGAGGCATGCAGTCCTCAAGTGCAAATTGGGAATGACAATACCAAATTTGCAGGGTTGCTCCAAGAAAACGTTTGTAAGTGGCCTAGCGCAGGAGGGCATGCAGAAGCTGTGCCACAGGCAGTTCTCCCCTCCCTGGGCCCCTCCAGCTGGGGGCTGATCGTGGCCATCTTGTTATCTTCTGCAGTGAGCAGCACAGTGCCTGGTACATGTCAGGTTCCCAGTAAATATTTGTGGATCAAACACAGAACAAATCTTTAACAAATATGCCTGACATTATATTATCTTTTTTTAAAACTAACTGAAAACTCATTGATAAGCATTATTTAAAAAATAACTTTAGGACGGGCGTGTGGCTCACGCCTGTACTCCTAGCACTTTTGGAGGCTGAGGCGGGTGGATCACTTGAAGTCAGGAATTCAAGACCAGCCTGACCAACACCATTAGCCGGGTGTGGTGGTGTGCACCTGTAATCCCAGCTACTCAGGAGGTTGAGGCAGGAGAACCACTTGAACCAGAGAAGAGGAGGTTGCAGTGAGCCAAGATGGTGCCATTGCACTCTAACCTGGGGCACAAGAGTAAAACTCCACTTCCAAACCAACAAACAAAAACTCTAAAGATAGTTTTTAATAATAAATGAATCACCTATATGACCTATATGCCATCCTTTTCACACAGAAATAAGTTTTTGTTCAGATGACCTCATTCCTACAAATAGATTTTTATACCATTGCAATGAGGACACATATTATTTCCATCTAACAGTAGGTTATAAATGTTTCCCTTTTTCATGTTCACAGTTCTGCTTTTTTCTGACTGCTTAATAGGAATAGTGTTGATGCTCCATAATTTATTAAACTATTCCCTAATATTGGATATTTAGGATGTTTTTTATTTTCCTTTTTTATTAGTTTAGATAAATACACAGCTAACTTAGACCATCTGATTCAGTCATCCTATACTTTGCTTTTTTAAATATATGTATATCTATTTCCTTATCACCCTGTGTTTAATTTATGTAGTATGATTTAGAAGGTAATTTTCTTTTCTTTTTTTTTTTTATTGTGATGGAGTCTCGCCCTGTCCCCCAGACTGGAGTGCAGTGGCATGATCTCGACTCACTGCAACTCCACCTCCTGGGTTCAAGTGGTTCTCCTGCCGCAGCCTCCTGAGTAACTGGGATTACAGGTGCGCACCACCACTCCCAACTAATTTTTGTATTTTCAGTAGAGACAGGGTTCACCATGTTGGTCAGACTGGTCTCGAACTCCTGACCTTGTGATCCACCCACCTTGGCCTCCCAAAGTGCTGGCATTACAGGCATGAGCTGCCGCACCTGGCCTGGAAGGTAATTTTCAACTTTGGATGTTACTTGCGATTATCTCAAAGCATCCCAGAAATCGGCCTTAAAAAGAAATATATGTATATTATCAAACAGTATTACGTTTAAATATTCTTTTATACAAATGATAAAGACTAAAACTTCCCCCTTTCTTTTCTTTCCTTCATCTCTATTATGTATTCCTTTCTAAATTAATGTGAAAATTTGGTATTCATCTTCCTCTTCTTTTCTGTTTTAATACAATTACCCTAATTAATTTATTAACAGTGTATCGCACCCCTTTTTTCCTCATATACTCCTTTAAAAGTAGCTAATAATTGCACATATAAATATGAGACTGGCTCACACTTGTAATCTCAACACTGGGAGGCTGAGGTGGGAGGACTGTTTGAGCCTGCTAGTTTTAGATGAGCCTGGACAACATCTCTACAAAGATGTTTAAAAATTAGCCAGGTACAGTGGCGCATGCCTATAGTCCCAGCTGCTCTGGGGGCTGAGGCAAGAGGTCCGATTGAGCCCAAGAGGTCAAGGCTGCAGTGAGCTGTGATGGCAGCATCACTGCACCCCAGCCTGGGTGAAAGAGCAAGACTCTTTCTCTGAAAAAAAAAGAAAAAAGAAAGAGAGATTTTATGAAGAAATATGGGGAACAGATTGGAGGTTCCTCAAAAAACTAAAAATAGACCTACCCTATGATCTTGTAACCCCACTGCTAGGTACATACCCAAAAGAAAGGAAATCATTGTATCAAAGAGACATCTGCACTCCTATGTTTATTGCGGCACTATTCACAGTCGCCAAGATCTGTCATTACAATGTTTTACTCTAAAGATCATTTATATTGTCTTTACTATAATTGAGTTAATTAGATATTACAGTTAGCAAATAGGTAGTCTAAATTTTTCAAAGTTGATTTCTTTAGAACTTCTCTTCATGTTTAAAAATACTCTTCCTGTACTTTAAAAATAGATATTTGTGGTTTATTTTTTAAAAAATGCAGCATGTCTTTATTTCCTTCTGCAATAGAGATGTGTTTCTTTCTCTGCAGCTTAAAGTGAGTAGAAAGAATCTTCTTAATGTCTGCAAACTTATATTTAAAATTAGCAGGAATGAGAAGAATGATTCTTTGATTCAAAATGACAGCATTCTGGGTGAGTGTCATTCAGTGCTATTATTGAGCAAATGTAATTGCATAAAAATTAAAAGTCTGGAGAGAAAATGTATGATCTATGATAGCAGGAATATTTTGTTTTCTAGAAAAATGCAGAAGTTATGTGATGCTAATTTTTACTTTGTGCTTCGCTGTTTTCCACATTCGGTTGAATGCATTTGCTCTTTTCCTTCAACACCTGTAACATTATGTGGCTTTACAAAGTATTCCCCATTTAAGAATTCATTCCTGGACTTGGATTTAATATCTAGAAAAATGCATTTAATAGTATTTGACGTAATTGAAAATTTTAGTCTTTTGATATACTAGGAATGACTAAAAGTTGAAAGACATCTGTAACTGTTAATAGAAATCTGACATTGAAATGTTTCAAATTTGTAGGTAAGGAAGTTTGCTTACATCTTATCTAGCTAATGCCTAACTTTTGTTTTATTTCTAAATAATTAAGGCACCTGATTTCCTAAATGAAAATCTTTTTATGAATTAATATTGCTGATATAAGAAAAGGCAGCAACATGGAAAATACTTTGAATTCTCTTTTTGCAACATAGGATAAATTATCTTTTCATTGCCCCTAGCAGACAGGAACAAAACCGGTACTGAAAGAAATGTCTAATGTTGAATCAACTAAATAAAAATTGTAGACTGAAAATAATAATCTCAAATGATTAAATTGACATTAATATAATTAAATGTGAAGTATGCATTATTATTGACCTTATTGGATTTGCCTGGATTACTCATAAAACCAAGTAGTGGTATGTTATTTGAATAGATGCTCTTAAGTTGTCTTGGGAAAAGGATAGGTATTATATTCAAGTTATCTTTTTGTATCGTGACTGAGACTTTGTTTTAAGCCCCTGTCATTAGTTTCCCACTAATAATACAGCCACAACTATAATCTTAGAGGTTTGTTGAAGTTTAACTCTTAAATTTATTAGTATTCTATATCTCAAAATTTTTTTTTTTTTTTTTTTCTTTGAGACGGAGTTTCGCTCTTGTTACCCAGGCTGGAGTGCAATGGCGCGATCTCGGCTCACCGCAACCTCCGCCTCCTGGGTTCAGGCAATTCTCCTGCCTCAGCCTCCTGAGTAGCTGGGACTACAGGCACGCACCACCATGCCCAGCTAATTTTTTGTAGTTTTAGTAGAGACGGGGTTTCACCATGTTGACCAGGATGGTCTCGATCTCTTGACCTTGTGATCCACCCGCCTCGGCCTCCCAAAGTGCTGGGGTTACAGGCTTGAGCCACCGCGCCCGGCCTATCTCAAAATTTTTATAACAAGAAAAGGCCAATAAATAATTAGTAAGAGGCAAGGAATGACATTAACTAAAAGAATAATTTCTCATTTATTAACAATCCCATCCTTTTACTGAAATTACTACTACAGAGATTTGTCTTAGCTAAAAGTAAGCCTTTCTCTTTATACTATATGAGTAATTCTTAATAAGCACTTCAATGTAGATTTTGATAAACATATTTTACAAATTGTATTTGAAGTTCATACACAAGTGCCTTAGTATATTTCTCTCCAGGTGTTAGACATTTATAATAATTCATCTTTTTGACAGAATCATTATTGGAAGTACTAAGAAGTGAAGACCTGGAAATGAACATGGAAGCTTTTTTATACTGTATGGGCTCTATAAAGTTCATTTCTGGAAATCCAGGATTTCTTAATGAAATGATCAGCAAAGGTGCTGTGGAAATACTGATAAATTTGGTAAAGCAAATAAATGAGAACACCAAGAAATGTGGTACATGTTTGCCTAATTCGGGCCACTTGCTAGTTCAGGTAAGTATTTTACTTGAAAAGGTTAGATGTGTAAAATTAGTTTTCATGTTGCCTAATGCCAGTTACTATTTAAAAGAATGACATGCAAGAGTCTCCTACAGCCAGGTGCAGGTGCCCGGCCTCCCAGGGCAGCAGCCACAGCTCACCTCCACCCCTTGAGGGCCTGGGGCCTGTTGTCCTGTACAGGCTGTTCTATGGCTTTTCCCAGAGCAGCTCTCCACACAGCATGCACTTTCACTGCCCTGAAGAGAAAGCAGGCCTAGAATAAAGGAAAGAGTTGTACCACTCTGCAAAGCAATTGCAAATTGCTTGTCAGAATTTTCACAGGCTGTTTAGTTTTGAAGATGGGCGTGGCCTGGAGATTATTTATGATGATTGGTAGCTAATGTCATTACTCATATTGTATATTCAGTAAGAAACAGAAGGTCGGCCAGGCGCGGTGGCTCACATCTGTAATCCCAGCACATTGGGAGGCCGAGGCAGGTGGATCACGAGGCCAAGAGATCGAGACCATTCTGGCCAATGTGGTGAAACCCTATCTCTACTAAAAATACAAAACTTAGCCAGGCATGATGGCATGCACCTGTAGTCCCAGCTACTCGGGAGGCTGAGGCAGGAGAATCACTTGAACCTGGGAGGTGGAGTTTGCAGTGAGCTGAGATCACGCCACTGCACTCCAGCCTGGTGACAGAGCAAGACTCCATCTCAAAAACAAACAAACAGAAGGTAATGGTATCAAGCAGACAGTCTTTGAGGTGGGCATGTAGATACAAGGCAGCCCTGAGACTGGAGAAATGCAGGTAACAAAAGTGGACACATTTAACGTAAACAGAGCAGGTAAACAAATTTTGTTGTGTGTTAGAGTTGTATTACTTCTGTTGTGGCAGATTAAATTTCATAGTTAAATTGTTTTCATTGGAGCTGCTACAGCATGGATACTCTTTTTTAGATGAGATTTTACTCTCTAATAGGATTTGTATATCAAATAATAGCATCTTTGGTATAATAACTCATGGGATTTGAAATGTGCTTGTCAATTAATGAGGATTGACTCAGAACATTCTAGGCCAATGAGAAACTGTGTTAAAAATTAGATTTAGGCCCTGCCTTCTAGATGCTTAAGATATTTAGGATGATTATTAATTTTGGACTTTGTGATCTGCCTCAATTTTGAAGAAGATTATGAAAACCTCTTTTAGTCATAAATGATGCAAAATTTTCCCATATGCCCTGTTTTGGCTAGGAAGACTTAAGAAACCTTATTTTCCATCCTCCCAGTGTTACCGAATCATTCAATTTTTTCCCTCAATGAAAATAGTAATTTCTGATTATAGAATGATTATATTTCCTATTTAAAATGCTGAAAAGTATAAGGCAGAATATAAAAATCACCTGCAATATTTTCACCCTGAGATAACGCCTCCAGTATTTTATATACATAAATATAATTTAATAGAATTCTCACTTTTTAAATAGCCTGTTACTTTTAATAGTCACTTTCGTTTGTTTTCTATCATCCTGTTCCTTCCCTGTTTCTCATTCTGGTTCATCCATTAAGCTAACATTGTTCACACTGATGTGTTCAGCACCTTTTAATACACACATATGATTTAACAAGTGGAATATTCTATGCGCTTCTGTCCCCTCATTTAACAATATATAGTAAAAATCCCTTGAGTCAACCCTAAAGACTTACTTAATTCTTCTTAATGACTGTATAATATTCTGTGATTAGGATATATCTCAGATTCTCAGCCATTCCCATATTGAGATACTCACTCCGTTTTAAATTTTTATGTAACAGCTTATGGGATTCTTGTCTAGTTAATCTCTTTCCAACCCCATCTTATACATATATAAATTGCTGTTTGCTGTTTGTATCAACTATATCACTGGTGTGTGTGCCTGTGCATGCATATGATCAGTTGGTGTGAAGGAATGTTAAGTGTTACTAGTAGTGACCAAAAATGTATAAAATCAAGAAATGGGACCTCTGGTGTACACATACAGTATATTACTCCCCGTGTTACTCTTTTATTTCCCTTTTCCCTGAATTCAGCATCCTCAAGTACAAACTGATTCACCAGGTCAGATCCCCTCTCCTTTCCTGACATTTGTGTCCCCCCCCCACCAGGGGGCGCTATAGAACTTCCTCCTCACTGCCCACCACCACATGCCACCACCTGTTGGCAGTGGGCTCTGTAATTATCTCCAAAGCCTTCCTTGGAACCAGCCGAAGGCCTGCCATGGGTGGCCCACACCCCTGTCTAGCAGGAGAAAATGGAGCCCATTATTGCATTTATCTGAACTTAAACTCTGGCTGTAGTCACCAAATGCCATTTGTATCAACTGTATCACTATGTGTGTGTTTACAGATTTGGAGAGGAAGGAGACATTATTTTAGTCTTTGTCATTTGCAGAATCCCCTGAATGGGACATTCCCTCATATTTAATGAAAACAAAAGCTGTTTTGTATCATACGAATGATAAAATGTAAGCAACAAGACTTCACTCCTAGAGCAGATGAAAGCCTCTGCTCTTGTGAATGTGTAATGCTGACTTTTCACCAGCTGGTTCATGTGCAAATTCAGCCAGACAGATCTGGCCACAAGCAGAAGTGTCTGTTTACATCAGCTTTCAGAACCTGGCAACTCCAGCTCAGGAGCCTTTTTTTTTTTTTTTTTTTT